CTCCTGCTGCTCCTGCTACTCCTGCTACTACTGCTACTACTGCTACTACTACTACTACTACCACTACCACGACTACTACGACTACTACTGCTACTACTACTACCACTACTACTACCACTACTACTACTACTACTACCACTACTACTACTACTACTGCTACTACGACTACTGCTGCTACTACTACTACTACAAGTAGTTCCCCGGCAAGCCGGCGGCGCAAGTTTCTTGTAAGAAAAATTGACCTATAGGAGTGTCCCGATTCTTTCCACCATGCGTGTCCCCCCTTGTGTCCGTCAGTCAGACGCATGCGCTCCGGACTTTTGACCAACATGGAATGATGTATGATGAGTGGTGTATGATGAGTGATGTATGATGAGTGCTGTATCATGAGTGGTGTATATGACGAGTGGTGTATGATGAGTGGTGTGATGAGTGGTGTATTGACCGGGTGTTGAATGTCCAGTCATGCATAAGTGCAACCAAATAACCAAATACTGTCAGTCAGTATGAACTGTGCCAAATAAGAAGCAACTACAATTTGGAGGCCGATTTCTACCGAAAGTTCGATGGCAGTCGATTCATCGGCAGGGAGCTCTGGGCAAGATGACGCTGTGAGCAATGAACAGGAGAGAGACCTCACAGGAGCTAGCGCTTGACTGCAGCTGGCTTCCTGTGACAACTATGGGCAGGTGGATGCGCCAGATATAACCAGAGAGCACGATTCCGAGAATGATCCGGCCATAACCCGAGACCGTCTCGCACCCGTTCTGCAGAGCTTCCCCGTCGATATTCTGTGCCTGCCACGACATCTGCACGTCAAGAAACAAGTGAAAAGCTCTAATCACTATGGAGGGACGATTCCGAGAATGATCCGACCATGATCCGAGCATGACCTGAGACCGTCTCGCACCCGTCGTTCCGCGGAGCTTCCCCGTCAAGGCGCAAAGCATAAAGGCTCACAAAACGTGCTGCATGGAGCTTCACAAAGTAACGCAAGTGCTGTGCCTGCCACGAACTCTGCACATGGAGGTTCACAAAGTGCTGTGCCAGTGGTGTGTGATGAGTGGCGTTGTGTGATGAGTGTTGAGTGGTGTATGATGAGTGGTGTGTGATGAGTGGTGTATGATGAGTGGTGCATGATGAGTGCATGATGAGTGGTGTATGATGAGTGGTGTCTGGTGCATGATGCGTGGTGCATGATGAGTGTTGTATGATGAGTGGTGATGATGAGTGGATGAGTGGTGTGTGATGAGTGGTGCATGCTACTGCTGCTACTGCTTACCGGAGTTCATCGAGCACACGCCGCCCAGTATGCATGTGCGTTGAGCCCCTCGGTGACCCTCGAACCCGGGGGAACTGGGTCGTGTGTCCCCTGGCTGTCAAGGGTCGTAGGTGCAGAAGTTGCCTCTGCAA